GAAAAGCGCTCCATCATCAGCAAGCAGAGAAAGCAACTTGTAAGACTACTTGTATCTCACCTGCTGGAAACCAATGGTGAAACGTGAGTGAGCCGCATATGAATTATTCTGTGAACATACACTTTCAAACAGATGAGATAAGAAATGTCAGTAAAGTAAATGTACAATGTTGCTGTCCAACACTGGCTATCACACACCTTCAACAACAACCGAGGAGTGCATGCGGTGAACAGCAGAACTCAAATGCACTTTAAAAGCGCATCACAATTCAGTGTTTAATTCATGGATTTGAATCGTCATATATTTGTAACAATGATTACTGTCTCATCTCATCGTTCTTTGACAAACTTCTACTGTCTATTTTAACAGGCCATCCACAGACACAAAGAAAGCCCTTGCCGTGGCATTGGTGTAGGAATTCCCTTGCCTTTTGGATGGTACAGGCAGTGGCTATGTAAGTTAATCAATCAACACATAAAGGAGAACACTCCATACACACACACCTAAAAGAAATGTGCTCAAACGTTTTTCCTAGTGCACAGTCACACGCACATTTTTGGATTGCTCCTTAAAATCCCATGTAACCATCTTCATGGTTTACGCCAGGCCAATTTAATCTGAATCTAATTTTCTCTTTTACAGGGAGCTTGGTACACACCTGGCCGAAATCACAAACCTGCTACAGGTTTCCTGGAGGAGCGCTTGAGGAACGTCAGGAAGCGCATGAGAATGCTGAAACGACCACGCCACCAAGAACAGAAGGAACAGACCGTCCCTAGTACACCAGGTAACTAATAACCAATATTAATTATCCCCGCCAGGCTAGAATAGACAAATGCAAGGGCCCATCGATTCTATTGGTTCTGATGGTTAAGAAAAAGGTGTAAATCACACGAATCGACCAATGGGTTCCAGAGATATGGTCCTGCGTAAATTATAAAGAATGCCAGCCAGCTTAAGTACATTACGCAGCCGACTTCATTTATTGTTTACAACGTAACGAAGCAGGAAATGCAGCAGGACCCAGAGCGCACAGAGCACAGAGCGGACAGCAGATAACGGAATTGCAGTTGTATTGCTTATAGATTATCAGAACATTTCAAAGGGGACACAGCCCCATTGGATATTAATCTATGGATTAACTACATCATCGTTTTTATCGTTTTAATGCCATTGAAGACCAGTTTAGACCAGACAACGAGGAAGGTAAGTCATTGTTAGCCTAGCGCCATTTGTTTTGATGTACGTTTTTGTTGATAACGTCGCAAGTTTGTATCTTTCAGTGTTGGGCTGTTCAGGTGGGCACCGTTAGATTCTGTGTCTCCTTGCGATCATAAACAATGTGTTGGATGTGCAGCTAGGATAAGTAATAAGGGAGCGAGGAGTGATTTTCGGTGCTGTAATAGGTTAGCATTTTTCGCTCAGGGCTAATTCAGAGGCTCACTGTAAGAGTAGGCCTATGTTTTATTATTTATTTTTTTTCACAACAGTTGTATTTGGATGGAATGACAATTGGATGGTATTTTAGGTATAAATCACACTGATTTATTCCCCGTACAGTTTGTCCAGCTTTTATAATGTGATGTTTATTTCAACAGGCTAGTGGACCTCGAATGATGAAACACAGATCGTGAAGAGCCCTTTATCCCACGTTAGCTTTTCAAATTAAGTTTACAGACAAAGGGAAACACTCTCCCTCGATTTAACATATAACTGACCTCTGGCTTTTAGCTTTCAGCCTTGGTCTGTTATTTAACCCCAGTTTTAAACGGCGACCCGATCTAAAATATCGTGTTTCCAGGTTTTGTCGTGCAGGAATCAAACCTCGCAACCAAACAAACTGCACCGTCTCCACGCCACTCAGGAATAAACTACCTGCAGATCCGCGCCAAACTGCTCTATTTACATTACGCAGGACTTTCCGTCTACCTGGCGATCAACGTTTATGTTTTGTATATAACTTTCCTAACATAGTAAAATATGCATTGTATATTCCATTTAAACTTTAAAACACTGTGAAACGCCTACAGACAATCCTAAAGTTTTAGCGTATCCAATTACAGACAGTCGAATTTCATAACAGGCGCCTGCGTACCTTATTTGTAGAGTTCGTGCAGGGCCCTGCCGATTGTCTGAGATGTTTGAAAGCGTTTATTCCCGACCCATTCTGGTCGTCTGGATTCTTCCTCAGCTTCGTTATATCTGGCACGTCGAGGGTCACCACTTGTTAGAGATTTAAAGGATATCTGGTCCGCTTTTCAAATCTCCGCGTGTCCCTATCAAGCTGGTTATAATACAGGAAGGAATCCAGAGCTACCAAGTAACCGTTAAACAATAATCTACTTTAATGGTAATATGACAATGCAATACAATCATTACAATACAACATAATATATTACAATTATATTGTAATGTTTAAGGAGTATGCCGGCCCACTCCTGCCCTGGTTCGCGTGCTGCGGAGATCCTTCCGGTCCTGGCAGCATGTGAAGAGAGACCGAACGTCAGGGATCTCCAGGAGATATACCAGAATAAGAAGGAGGGGTTAGGGGTTAGGTCAGCTGGTCATCTTTTCAGGTCATCTCATTGGGAGACGCAACGCTGGCCAGCAGAAAACCAAACAGGCTCACTTTCCAACAAAAGGTCTCAAGGCCTGCATACCTACACCTCCCCCACAGAGCAATAAAACCCTGTTTACTCCAACCAGCCCAGAATGTTTATAGCCATTTTTAGTCCTTACATTTATGAAAGGATAAAACAGAGAAATCAATATAAAACACAAACACAGGTATTGTTTGAACAGTATTCACTTAACTGCTACTATTGATAACCACCAGAGAAACCCAAGGGACCTCTCTTAATATCTATCTGGAATTTGCAACAAGACTTTCTGCCATTTCAAATGTAACACACTTCTTAAATATCAGATGATAATACTCTACAAGGCCTAGGTAATGTTCATAGGATTTCATAATTACACTTCACACACTTTTCTAGTAATTATTTCATAAGCAGCTTTATAGGTTGCTTGCTTATTAATATGTGTTTTTTTTATAGTGGTTTATAGTGGTTGCAGTGGTTTTATAGCTCATCCCCCAAGTCAAAAGGACAGATAACAAGGCATGTACACCGGCAGCATAAATAAGTTTACAGTGAACGTACCATTGTTATCAGAGTCCTCGGCATCCGCGGCGTAACTGCGGCTAGTATCCGCCTTAGCAGCCCCGGCATCGGCAGTGGAGCTCAGGCTCCCCTCATCAGGCGACTTATCCACCTCTTCCTCCGCATAGGACTCGACCACATCTACGGGGCTCACTATGGGTCTTGTGTTTAAGATACTGTCGAGATCCTCATACCAAATAAATGTCTCTTTGATACTTGGGGAGCTGCCGCTCTTCTGCAGCGCGTCGCGCACTTTTATGTATTGTTGTCGTAGTTTCTTCACCTTTATACGACACTGTTCAACACTCCGGTTAAATCCTAGTTGCTTCAGTCTGTCGCTAAAGATTTTGAACACCTCCGCGTTTTTAAGAACCTTCTCCAGCAGTTGAGAAATGTTCTCCTCTGCCCAGATATCCAGAAGGCATCTCTGTTCCTCATAGCTCCACGTTTGTGCCCTGCCGCTCATTTTCCCACCATTTGCAATCCTCTCCTCCACAACAAGAAATGACGTGCAAATACTACGCTATGTTTTGGTGCGGATTGCGTTCACACCAGCAATGAACCGCTCCAGAGTTCGCAAGAAAGCTTTCCGAGACCACCTATTTTAGCGGACCAGAGTCCGGTTGTTTAGTTCACTTAAGAGGTCTCGGACTGCGTTCACACCGACCCAAATGAACCGCACCAAGCGGCCAAACGCACCAGGGTTCGATTCAACCGGACTATACAAGGCAGGTGTGAACGCACCCTTAAAGTTTTAGTTTAAAATAGAGATACTTTTTAAATATTGATCTATAATGATTAAATGTCAGTGAATAACAAAATGTTTAATTATATTACATTACATTACATATCATTTGTTAGACGCTTTTATCCAAAGCGACTTCCATACATTCAGTACTGTGGACAATCCCCACAGGAACAATTTGGGGTGAAGTATCTTGCCCAGGGACACAACGACATGCTGACTGCAGTGGGACTCGAACTTGCTACCCTCTGATTCGAAGTCCAGCACTCTATCCACAGAGCCACAGCCGCCCCATATATAACTTTTACATCTCATTTAAAAAAGGTGGTTGCTAACTTGATCAGTGGCATACTGTGACAATAACTGGGACTTCAGCTCAGCCACACTTAGCAGACAGACCAAAAAAGTGTCAACACGGCAAAATATTTAGCTATGGATAAACGGCATACTGTGACAACAGCAGCTGGCTATGGAGTGCAACTGTTGCATGAAATGACGGCAACCACCACACAATTACATTACAATTATAAATATATTAATTTAGAGTTTGTCTTTAACTGTGTGAGACTACTACTGATACTCTCATGGAGCACTAGATAATTGTCTGTTTGGAAGCTGCTTTAATATATTAATGTGAGTCAAAAGTACATTTTACACATATATTCCTGCTTACATGATGTAGTGGGACATCCTGATATTTTTAAGTTGAAAGTGCAATATCCAAATTGCAAGAAGCTGCAATTATTATTTTTCAGCTAAATTTGAGAATACAAAATTATTTCCTTTTTCTTCAGTAAAATCTGGACTTTCACTCACTCTAGATCTAATCAATTACAGGTGGCAGCCATCTGTAATTTAGTTACTTTGAAAAAAACAAATGGTGACAGCACTTAATTGTCTAAAGCTAACTGTGAGTGACGTGCACTGATACATTTTTGAGGAAATATAATCTATCTAACAATCTATGTAAGCACTGAAAGCACCTGAAGCAGAAATACAGAACTTATTTATCTATGTCATTGTATGCCAACCTGAACAATCTTTGAATTGCATTCTGCAAAACTGACAAGACGAAATGCAAAACATGGACATTTCCTCGCGATAGGACTCGGAATGGTGAAACCAATTTGTGTCCACACCTGTAATAAGAAAGTATAAAACAATAAGCCTAAGGTTTAATTTAGCAAGCTTATTGAAATTGAATTTGTAAAATACAATATTTCTTACTCAATATCCACAAAAAGTGTGCCTTTTTCCGGAAAGCGTCCTGGCTGACGGTATTTCTTACTTTCCAACAAACCAGAGAAAGCGTCAAATATGCCATGTCTCCAGCGTCAAGAACTACCTCCAAAAGAATGCTCTGCAGCAATTCTTGCGGTAGCTATGGACATATTTTTTCAAGAACCAGGTTAACAACAGAACTGAATTTCAAAACAAATATTTGTGTATATTTATATATTGATATGCTCCTTCTTCATAACCAACCAAGAGAAGTGGTTACCTTAAGAATCCAGCAACATGTCTTTCTTGTGTCCACCATATTTTTTGGGCGCTCAGCTCTTTTATTGAATCCAACCACTTAAAAACACAAAAACAACCAGAAGATGATGCAGGGCTGGCTAAACTTTACTCTAGTTATGGTTGGGCTGATGGACAATGACATCGTGCATCAGCCATGTATGACAGCCATCGCCGTTGGATACCTGACCATCATCACATCATGAGTTAATAAGGCGCCCTCCCCTCCCTGCCCCACAAGAACGGGTAGAGTTTCCTTTTCGGAACAGTTAACTGCGGTACTCACATTACTTTAAACAGCCATAAAGTGGGAGGATAAGCTCAGGTTGATGTATAATAGTTAAACAGCTGACTCCATTATTGTAACACGTATTACAGCAGAAATAAACAAAAAAGCATTGGTAAATGAAGCGCAGAGTTTAGTTTGAGCCGTGGTCCCGGAGCTGATCAAGCACCGCCGCAGAGGACATCGTCTATGTCCAGTTGGGTACACATCGCCCAATTGTAACTTGAACATTTGTTGAAATTAAAGACTTAATGCATACTAAAAGTATTTATTGAGCTGTAAAATACATTGTACGACTGTACTTCAACACCAGACTGCATTCGTTCCCTTAATGATCCCCTTGATGATAACACGCTAAGGCATGTAGCGACACTCCCTCACTAATTAAGTTTAATGTACTTTAAGTGCATGAGCAAATCCGTTTCAGTTTAGTGTTTTCAGTATGAACACAAACAGTCTGACAGCACCTGCTAATGCAGGTTAGCCCTGTTCACTAGCTGTTCCTTCTCACATGATCAATGGTCAGTCTGTCACATAATTCACTGTAGTCCTACCTCCTTACTTCCCAAGTCAGACACTGTGTAGGTGGCCAACGTACCTCTCTTTGCAGTCTTTCCTTTTGTCTTCTTCGCTTTTTTTCCTCTTTTTTTCTTGCCGTATTTGTTTTTCTTGTTCTTCTTCTTCTTACTCTTCCTCTTCTTCCCTCTGTCTGAGGAGGGGAGGAGGAGGAGGAACTGGAGGAATTGGAGGAGGTGGAGGATGAAGAGGAGTTGCCTGCCCCTATTTGGTCACCTTCAGAAGTAACTGGCGCCTTAACTGATGCCATTTTTAGAAGGCCAAAGCTGAAACAAACAAGAGGATTAGAAGATAACTATTGTTACCACTAAGGGTCAGAACATTTACAATAATCTTTAAACCTTATATTGTGGGTTCAGAGTTTCACGCAGCTCGGTGGAAAATTCATATAGTGTTTTTCACTACATTGAAATAGTGAAAAATATCGTGACCTGAAATGTTAGGTATAAGTGAAACCATTTGTTCTTTAGGATTTATGGAATATGTGAGATCATTTTCATGACTCTAGTTCAAACGGGGCATTGTGATATGCCTGTTCCAAGTTTCCCCCGAACAAACGGACTCAAACATATTTTAACAAGTGACTGTTCTTTCCCTCTCAATCCAACCCTCTACTGTCGGTTAATAAGTGAGAGAAGTGAGCTGGAGCCTGATCTGTCAAGCTCCACCCACATTTGGTGCTGTCCGTCCTATATGCCTTGTCATGATATGTTTGCAGTGAAATGACTGAATTGCTGATGCAACTAGTCATCTGCAAGCATGTATGGCCTCATGGACTGTGATGAGAAATGTTGTAGGGCTTGGTGTATGTGCCTGTTTTTTTTTGTTTTTTTTCTCAAAGCTATCAGATGCCAATAAGTAATTATTTAATCATTATTGATTTGCTTACCCTCAGCCAGCTGTATCCTCAGGTAGTCCCTTTCGCTTTCAACAGTTAATAATTTGTCCTTTGAAGCATCTAGCCTTATTTTCAAGGCATTATTATCTCTGTTTCTGCGCTTCAGAGCTGCTATGGCTGTGTGGAGCTGCAGAAACATCTGTAATGACAAAAACGGCCAAAAAAACAACATTATCTTTTCTGTAGTTATTACACAAACAGTATGTATAGGCAGATTGTGGTTCCATGCCTTTGTTTAGCGTTTTCAAAAAATGTACAATAAAATGTCAAAATGATAGATCTAGGACCGGCTTGTATTGTCGTGAAGTGCAGACCATGTCATTGATCACATTTAGAGAGACTGTTGAATTCTATATTGGGACTTGCAACTGCATTTAAACACTGCAAAACCTATGATAATACATTACAAAACATTACTATATTCACTTCAAGGCAACTGTAAGATCATTGATTCTGACAGGGGCTTCACAAGTAATTGCAAAAAATAACTTCAACTTTGAATATGCACTCAACCACACAGAAGTAAAATGGGCTCTAGTACATTTGCACAAGCGTTTACATTTTCGTTATGTAATATTTTCTTGTTTCTAGTGTATTGTGCGATATTATATATATATATATATATATAAAGATAACACAATCAAAAAACAGTAACCGTAGATAAAATGTAATGCAATGTCACAACACAACCTAACCTTTAGTTGATGCTTTAATAGTAGACTGCTGTCCTGTGAATGCATCCGAGTCAGACCCATCACTGCAGTGCACTACAGCTTTAAGAGGGGAGACAGAAAGTTCATAAATTAGAAATAGTGTTGACAAAATGGTACATATAGCGATAGGGAATATTTGAAATTGTGTAAAGGTCCAAATGCCAAATTAGACCAAAAAAAACATGGATGTCGTCCCAAACCACTATCTGCCCACCCTGACCTCTACCACCAACAAAGGTATGGCAAAGCACAGTGGAAGAATCTCCTCAACACAGGAGATAACAAGGGGCTTCACTTTGTGCATGTGACATCTTTAATCCACTATACGTTTACATATTGTTTTTTTTACTGCTATCTGCTAAGCAACTACTTATTAGTACACCATCTGAGACTGAGTGGATCCTTAAAGTATGCTTAACATTTGAAAGCAAACACTTACCCATTTCCTTGCCGCAGTGTGGGAGCTGCATGGCTCTTCCTCAGACTGACCAGCCAAATATTTATCCGCTGTAAGATTATGGAGCACAGAAAGAGTTGTTGATGTAGAGAGCATTACTATATGGAAGTATGTTTGTTTTTTTTCCAGCTATATTATAACTTCATTGGAACTATTTCAAAATTGGATATCTGAAAAGCCACTCTTGAATGAATGTATGAATGTACTGTTTTTAATTATATTTTCATTACATATCGCCCAATGCTGTGTTAAAATCAAAATACTCTCGTTTCTAGCGCCCTAATGTTATTTACTTATTTAAGAGTTAAGATAAAACGTTAAACCTTCGTAATTGAGATATTTCAGTTTATTTGACGATTTAACTAATTTAACCCATAACAACCCAGACCCATTTCTACTTTTGGGGAAATTAAGGGGAACATAATTTAGACTAAATAGACCACATTTCTGACAATGTGACATTGAACTTTAATGGTAAAGTAACTCTTATGTATAACTTAATTAATGAGGAGGATTTTTTGATTTAAATTTGTTTTAACATTCTTTGAATTGAAGAATAAAGAATATATTAACTAAATATAATTGGATCACCTAAATTAACTGAGCAGATCATACTCATATTTCTAATTGTGACATATGTGTTACTCCAGATTTACTGTGAAAGTTTAAGGTTAATGTCCCGATGTGACATCAGTGTCACAGCGATATTTATCTAATTTGTTTCATATCAATTTGATCAAGAAATGTTAACAGGTTCAATGTAACAAAGTACATGTTATGTAAGCATTTTAATTCTTAAATGGCTTGATTTGTACCTTTAGCAACCAAAAACAAGCCTCTGAAATGTACCTAGTTCTGTCACATGTCTTAGCCCGACACATGACCCACCAGACTTTTCAGGGTGTGTCACTTAAGGACTTTATGAGATAAAAACAAGTCTAAAGCTGTATAAGGAACTTTACAATACATTTAAATGTCATGTAAGCGCTTTAAGCTCCAGCAAGGGGCTTTATAAATGTAATGTATTATTATTATTATTATTATTATTATTATTATGTAACACGTGGGTCCTCGTGGTTTAGCTAGCAACCTCAAATCAGATAGCACAGAACAAAAAGTGTAATAACATGTGTCAATTGAGATGATTTCGCGATGCAGTGTTACTGATTTCTGAAATGACAAAAATAAATTTCAATTCATACTTACATTCTGACACTAAACGCTTAGGGGGCCCCATCCTCTTTCGCTTGCTTCTCCTCGAGTCCATTTTCAGTTCTAAGCGTGTAGACTAGAGCATAGACTGTAGTGTACATATAAGATGGAAAGGTTGAGTTTTATCCATATACTATATATAAAGGTTTTATCACTAGCCGAGATGCACGTGACAGGCTCATGGCCAATCGTAGCACTTGAATGCTATGAAGGGGCGTGTCTTGCATAGTGCTCCAGCCGGATCCCGATTTGCAGCGTATTAACACTTTATTACGGTTTTAATATTTTAATTGTATATCAGTGAATATAAAGAAGCTGTGCTTTGTCAATTGAACAAGGAAGATGAAATACCTGATTCAAAATATAAAAACTATTGGTTTGAATCGTGTGAACAAGAAATGAGGATCAGGGTGCTAGGGCGCTAGTGCGCTCAGCGGAGTTCCACTTCCGGTCTGGCCCAGCGGCAGCACATCTTGAACTACGCTGGGTGTTAGGTTTTGTGGACGGGCCGGGGCCGCAGTAACGCAGTAGTAACGCCGCAGTCAGGTTATAGGTTATCATGATGACACTGCACACCAAAGTACTCAGTCTTATTGACGGAAGACAGACTTTTAAAAAAAAGAAAAAATTAATTGAATGGCTAATGAAAAAGGAATTGCTTCAAGGAAAAATGAAATGCAAACTCTGCAAAAAGAGGATGAAACTGGAGAAACACTCGTCGACGGACTGCAGTGGTAGGCTAAGTCGTACATTTTTAGCATGGGTTTTAACGATGACTTCCTCTGTTTACTGATATGTAATGTTACAAAGACAAGTTCTTTATCAGGAAAAAAGGACTAGGAATTTACGATTTGTCTTTTGTAGGAAGTGCCGACGTAAAAAACACCGAGGGAAAACGACGAAGAAGTCAGTGAGGTCTTTGTCCCTGTTTCAGAGGAGCAAATTGTCCTTGTTCAGCTGGATGAAATACATTTACAGGTAATATTAATTCATCAATAATATCAGTCATTTCTTCAAAGCACAGCAAATGAATGCCTGTAAGTATTACGTTTATTTTAAGCATGTTGACTGTTGTTTAACATTACCGATATCTAAATGCTAATTTCAGTTAGCGCGTCAATGACGTTATCCATTATATGTTAGCATTGAGCTAGCGGACCAAGCGCTAGTTATTTGGCAATTCACAACGCAGGCTGCTTGGAGGTGTGGCGGGGCACAATGGCGCCGCTTTCACACCAAGCCCCCAGGAAGTGCGCCGGACTCTGAGGAGAACATTCGAGAGTTATTTCCCTCGGCATTATGAACGCGCATCCAACCCACGGGACCGCGCCGCCCGGCACCTTCATGTTACGTGTTCTGTACTACATGCGTTTTACCCTTAACCATAGACTGTGTATATATATATAAAGGTTTTACCTTTACCCATGGATGCACAATAAGAACGGACCCGTATCGCCGTTCGGGTGTTCAGAGCAGAGCTCCCTGTTGGAGCGGCAGAGCGTGATGTGAACAGAAAAATGTTTCTGTCGCAATATTATTTAAAGAATCGTTGAGCTAGCTAACTAGCATACATTGTCACTATCTGCTAACATTAGCTTTAGCTTTCGTTTTCTAATAGTTTTTCTCATAGGCTATAAACAGAATAGATCTTGTACTTGAGTAAAAGTAGAAATACTCAGATATTGTACTTGAGTAAAACAGAAGTACTCAGATATTGCACTTGACTATAAGTACTCAGATCTTGTATTAGAGTAAAAGTAGAAGTACCAGAGTGTACGAATACTCTGTTACAGTAAAATTCCTGCATTCAAAATGTTCCTCAACCAAAAAATGGGTTCAGAACGTTACAATGTGTGATTATTCTAATAGCTTAAAAATACATGTGTAGATGCTCTGATACAGGGAAACTTGATAGATAAAATTAATTAGCAACATTAAAATATTCTGTTTCATCTTGAGTAATAACAAATGTCTAATGTGAATTATAATTATACATTAGCCACTGGTGCTGAATGCGTTCTTCTTCATATGCTTTTGTTCATATTTAGTAATTCTATATTGATCTTTAACAGATTTTCCCAGGGACTGCAGCTAAGGCAAATTGACATGCTGCAGGATGGCGTGGCAGGAAGCAGTCGCACGCTGTCAGAAATTAGCCTGAAGTTGAGGAAGGTCTGCAAGAGTGCAATCAAGAGGAGAGAAAGGAGGGGAAAGCAGAGACTTGGAGGACCAAACGAATTTGTCATGCTGGACGAAAGCAACTTCTACCACAAAAGGAAGGTGTGTATAAACTACAGAGCCTTAGCCTTTGGCCTCACTAAAACTAAAACCTTTGTTGTTCAAGGTGAAATAACAACATATATTTTAAGGTCAGAGATTAACAAATGAATGAGCAAAGTAATGTAATTTTATAATTGTGTCATTCACACCCTTGTGACTGGCGAGACAAAGTATACATTAGAGAGAGCCAGCTCCACAGTGTATACACAGTCAAATAACAGAAAAAAAGGATTTAGAAGCTAAGAATTATCTCATCCAATCAGATCATTAAAGATGGGGTAGGTAAGTTTCAGAAACCGGCTCGAGATACACTTTTTGTTATATTCCATGGAATGCTCTTAACATCCCGATAGCAATGAATATCTTAAGTGCTTTGACAATAAATTTAAAAAAAATGTCCTCTGTAGAAGCCGTAATACTGTAAAAAGTACAACCACAAACTTATCTCGTGCCCTCATTGGTCATGTGCGCGTTCGTGTGTGTTGGAGGAGGGGCTCTGTAAGGAAGTGGCAGATTTTCTCCGGTTGTGTATTTTCAAATTCTAGCGCACTCGAGCCGGTTTCTCAAACTTACCTACCCCACCTTTAAGGAAATAAATCCTTATTCTTACTTTTTATTACTAACATTTTAAAAGTGCATAATGTTATTTATATATCATCTAATTACAATATCTATCTTACATTTTCATGTTTCTTGCAGCAAAATAAGCAAACTTTAACTTAATAAAATTAAACAGCCTTTTCTGTTTGTACCACTACATTTAAAAAAATGTCTCTTCTTTTTTGAGAAAGGAAGTGAATATTTTTAAATTGTAAAATAAAGCAAATAAACACATTACATTTTGTTTATCAATTGAAATTCCTGATGTTTATTTTTATATAACTGTGTTGTACTTTTTCACTGCTTTATTACAGTATGGTAGGGGAAGATTCGGTCCTACGTGGAGGAGGAGAAAATGGGTCTTTGGAATGCTGGGCATCAGAGGAAAAAGGAGAAGACCTATCCTGAGGCTGGTGAAACAAAGATCACGGCGCCACTTAATTCCTCTGGTCACAAAATACGTTCGCCAAGGGACCACGGTGATAACGGACATGTGGAGGGCATACACCACTGCAATCGCAGAAAGTGGCTTTGTCCATTTCTCTGTGAACCACAGCCGGTCATTTGTGAACCCAGACACAGGAGCCCACACCCAAAACATTGAGCGGGCTTGGTCAACGTACAAGTCACAGGTCTGGAGACTGCGAGGAAACCGCACAGTGAAGACTCTGAAGAGTCATCTTGCTTTCATCGAGTGGACACATTGGCTGGCAAATGAACACAAAGATGGTCCCTTAGGCAGATTGCTGCATGACATACGCCACTTTTGCAAGTTCTGATGCAACCTTGTTTTCATTATTAGTGTCCTTTGGATTGTTGTTTAAATAAAAATGTAAACTTGAGTGCACAGGGTTTGTTTATTTGTTTACTGCTTAACGAATGGTAAAGTAATCATTAGGTAATGGGTAACTACTGTTTTTGATGCATTACTTTACTTGAGGGGACACACACTGCTTAACGAATGGTTAAGTAGGCATTAGGTAATGGGTAACTACTGTTTTTGATGCATTACTTTACTTGAGGGGACACACAATGCTTAACGAATGGTTAAGTAAGCATTACTTAATGGGTAACTACTGTTTTAGTAACGGTAAGGTAATCATTAGGTAATGGGTAACTACTGTTTTTGATGCATTACTTTACTTGAGGGGACACACAATGCTTAACGAATGGTAAAGTAATCATTAGGTAATGGGTAACTACTGTTTTTGATGCATTACTTTACTTGAGGGGACACACACTGCTTAACGAATGGTAAGGTAAGCATTACTTAATGGGTAACTACTGTTTTAGTAACGGTAAGGTAATCATTAGGTAATGGGTAACTACTGTTTTTGTTTGCGTTCCTTGAGTTTACCGTACCCAAATGGCCTAAGTAATGGTAAGGTAAATCGGATCCACCTCCACCAGTTGATCCAGGGTGGGACCCAAGCCAGCCGAAGATGGCAGGTTTAAATGTGCCCTGCTGCAGCGGACCATTGCTTCAATCAAAATCTCCCAGGAACTCCTCATAAAGTAACCATTAACGAATGATTCATTAATACAGTACCCCCCAGTCTGTTTACCAGTAACTAACCATAAGTTCACTGAGGAACTACTCATTAACTAACCATTAACGAATGATTCGTTAATACAGTACCCCCAGTCTGTTTACCAGTAACTAACCATCAGTTCCTCAATCGCAGTCACTGAGGAACTACTCATTAACTAACCATTAACTATCTAGTAGTTCCTCAGTAACTAAGCACATTTTGTGTACCTTATTGTAAAGTGTTACCCAAAAGTCGGGGGTCATTGGTCAAGCAACACACCAATCAGAGAGCAGCAGTGAGCACACCTCAGGCTGTGTTTTATATTTGTATTCTTTATTTCTGATGTATTTCACACAAAAAACCTTTAGTGGAAACGTTTTCACTTATATGATTAAAAAAAAAAAAAAACGGCAAAGTGGCAAGGCTTGCCCACCCTGCGTTGGGGGGGCACAGTGACTCATTTGGGGGGGCATGGCCCTCGAATGACCCCCCATGACGCCGACCCTGCATGGGACGCTACTCAAGATGGCGCAGACAAATCAACTTCCGGTGAGACCGAGGAGCGAGGAAATGAAAATAGTCGACCTGAGACGGGGCCACGGAAACCAGGAGAAGCAGGGAAATTAGTTTTAAGAGCAATGGGACGTCCTTT